CAGTCTGCGCTTCTTCTAAAGGGTGCACATCGGTGCACGTGTTAGGGCAGCCTACGTGTTTCATTTCAGTATATTCAAAGTGTGAACTTCAGATAAAGAGCAACATTCAGCCCCACCAGGATCTAGCGACCTTATTTTATGATTGTTGTAGGCTAAAACGCTTGGTAGAACATCCAGAAGAACTGGGTGACTATGAACTAGGCCTGGGCCATATCTAAAATCAATTAGCATGATATTTTTTGTATTGGGATTATAGATTATATTTGTCCTCTCTAGTTTGCTATCAATTCTCCTACCCAACAAAGTAATTGCCGCCTTTCAACCTTCGGCATCAAATTACTCGTCAATCACCCCTGATATCCAATTACATCACCCACAGGTCTACTCCAACTCAACTAGTTTCTTAATCAACACAACAACAAACAGTGCATAAGTCCATAAAGATGCATAAAAAATTGAGTTAGGTTATGTTATGGGATAAGTGACAACTGCTGACTTTCGTTTGGTCCACACCAGTGATATATGATGTACAAAACAGTTCATAAATTTATTTGAGATGTCTTTAGCTAAAATATGCATTGCCAAATCTCTGCATTGTCCATGGCTTCCCAGCATTTAGTACAAAAGATGCACGCTTACAATTATTATAGCAAGCTCTTACAAATATTGTGGGGGTTGGTTGAATTTGCCTGAATTTGTTATCGCAAAATCATAGAGAAACTGAATATCTGTCTTTGGTGCAATAAAAAAAAAATCCAGAAAGAAATCAGAATTGGCCACGAAAGTTCATGACTGGCATACTTCTATGCTGTACCCAGAAAAAAAAATGCCAAGGCACACATTGTTACCTAGAGTTAACTGGCTCTCGCATTCCTTCTACGCGCCCTACTGCAGAAGCAGCACACCACATCATGCTTTTGATCATCTTCAAATGATTCTGGGCTCCAAAACTGGGAATCCAAACAGGAATCCCTTCAAACAGAGGAAAGTAGGAGGGTTGGCTAATGCTACAAGTCTAGTAACCAATGATATACTGTAAGCTGCCTTTATCAACTCTGTATTTGTTCAATGACACATTTGAATGAACAGCGACTCAAAAACAATGTTAATACATCCAATGTGAACTAACCAAAGCAAAGTAACACTGCAAAGCTGCCTTGTGCAGTGCTGGTCGTCCTTCTTCCATTCTGAAATCTCACCCTACTAGTGTATATTTTCTATACTGTCTGTAGGTCACATTTACACTAAATTCTAGACCATATTTAGGCCAGCAATTAGTGAAGAACTGTAGACTATACAAAGCAGATGTAGTGGAAAGAATTCCTTTCAATTATCTGCTAACTAGGCCTGAAAGGGGTGAAAAATGCTCTTATTAAGCAAGCGAAACAGAAGACTATATCAGAAGCCCTTGCAATGATTACACAGAGTAAGGCAGTGCTTCCTGTAAAAGAGACTGCTTTCCTGGGGCCAAAAGAAAACGGGCACCACTCTGTGAAATTCCAGTCTAGGAGCTCCCAGACCTAACCTGAGCGCATTCCCATAATCTCCCTCATGAGCCTTTCAAAGTCATTTAAATTCCATGAACTGCAGGACTGGGAACTGCTCTCATCAAAATGAAAAGAACTTTACATATCTCTACCACTCTTCTTCTTCAGTATTTTGTTTCTTGGCTGTTGCATCATCCCTTTTAGTGTCTACATGTAATTAAGAGTGCTGCAAATTACTCCAACTGATAGTGATCCACCATGGGCCATTTTTATCTCGCTAATTGATGCCATAAGCAAGCTATATCAAAATGGATCTGCTTCATGTAAGTATCATCAGTCTCCTCTTGGTGTCTGGCAATGGCCTGTGTCTTTTGCGACACATTGTGCAGACGTTATCGAGGAGACACTATGGTAGCGGCGTGACCCACAGAAAGCCACTTTCCGTTGAAGGGATTTCCACCCCACCCCTTCCCACAGTGCTTCTTGGAGGCCTGGAGGCAAGCCAGGACACTGTTTATGGGAATTCCCTGGCAAGCGAGCATAACCTGCAGCCAACCTAACAGACAACCTGAACCAAAAATGCAAGCGTTGCTAATAACAAAGGCCAGGTGGGTGGTAGAGGGCAGTTAGAATTGTGTGAGCAAGAGCCGCTAACTAATCTTTGCTAGCCTCTGTTACTTGTTAGCAACATTAGCACAGTTGCATTAGGATTGCAAGTTCTGCTTTAATCTGGCATTCATGATGTTCTATAGTAATGTTTACCATGCTACAGGTTTTTGAAGCCAAACAGATAACTTCCAAAACAATGTGACAGTCCCTCCATACTACAAACTTTGGAAAATATAAATGCAGAGGGATTTATAAACATGCACTGGGAAGGAGTGTGGTCAACTACTTTCAATGGAAAGTAACTAAAACCTGCTTGAAAAGTCACTAAATGTCACTAGATGACATCACACACGGTGATTAGCATATTTATGATGTCATCACGTTGTACCTGCATTCTGCCTAGTGTCATGTGGTGTCATCCCTTTACATCTGGTTGCTTCACTCCCACTCTCTGTGCTCATATATACTGTTGTTCAACAGCCTACAGCCAAATTCCCAATAAAGCTGTTCTCATTTACATATTTTTCTGTTTCTGTTTTCGGACAATGGGACGTGTATGGAAGAGTGATCGAAACACAGGTCACTAAGACATATTAACCAGCAGTCACGTCCAAGCCATTTCCAGGCTGCGGACTGAATGTACCGGTCTGCCTCTCTGCCGCTTACTAAACAGGGCAGACGCAGAGAGAAGTGTGCCTCGCGAGGCACTACTGGCGACTCTGTTCTACGGAAAGTAACTAATGTTTATCCAAAAAGTTACTAGATTTGTCGCTAGGTGCTTTTTTGAAAAAAAAAAGTCACTAAAGAGGTCTGAAAAGTGGCAAAATCTAGTGACAAAATCATTCAGTTGCCAACACTGCCAGGAAGTTTCTAACTTCCAAGTAGGAAAAATACTTTTGAATATCCTTCCAAGTCGTAATTCCCACACGGAAAGTCAGAGTTTCTCAAGAGCTCATACTTCTCCAAGCTGCAATTTAATTATGTTATTTCAGCACAGCAGCGTTCACAGAATAAGAATTAACAGCGTGTTTTAAGCTTTTTAAAACAGACTTTTGAGTTTTATTTGCATATCATATCTTCACTGTCAGAACAAAACCTTGTATTGCTGTTTTTGTCTTAGCAGTCAAACAAGCACTACCTCACTGTGAGCATCAATTTTTTACTGACTTCAACCAGCTGAAGTTGTATGAACACTTTAAGGTGGGAAGCAGGAGATCTAAGTTGGAAAATTCCAAGCTCCCATCTATCATGAAGGCAGTATATGATACAATATAAATATATAAGCTCAATTCACTAGGATATTACACAGCTTACTGTGTCAGATTTGTCACAAGATACCCAATTTACCCAACTCACCAGAGGGTATTTGATTCCAAATAGCTGTCTGATTCGTGCTTGCCTACTCAGCCATGAATTAAAAGGTCAAAGCAACGGCCCCTGTATTATACTCCCTGTGATCTATGTTCAAATTCCAAGACATCATATGTAAATTGGCGGCTGAGGCACAGCATTGCCTCTAGCAGTACTGCCTCTAGACTACCCTTAACAAGGTTATGGCTGATATTTTTGATACCTCTGACAGCAGCTCAGCTTGTCAAAGATGACCATTGCTTTGTAAAAACATTGAGGACTCTAATGTAATTGCCCCCCACAAGTAACAGCTTAATCCCCCCACCCCATCTCGCACGCACACAAATTCTCTAACGGCTCACATACCTCATTAATGCCCAGCAGTCCATTGTCAGAAGAGGAGGAGGGACCCTACACTCCAATTCGCCACAGCCAATTTGAATATGTAACGCTCCAAACACAGATATCATCGCTACATTTAATTTTGCAATTAAAACCCATTTTAATTGCAAACACTCGGATGTGACCATTTCTCTAAATTAATTCGCTGCATGTTTCAATGCAAATTGCACACATTAGATTCCACTTTAACATAAATGGCTGCTTGTCAGTGTGTTTAGCATATGAGAACTGTGTATTTAGGAGTTTTTCTGCACTGCTGCCTTTAGAAACGAGGCGGCCATAGGCCTCCCCCCCTTCTCGTCGGAGGCTTTCATGTCTGCACAGAGACAACAGGCACAGAGACACAGGGGGTTCTCTGGGGTTCAGCACCCCCCTCTTCTTTCCCCACAGCCACCGCCCCGCGCTCCCTAACAAAGCCCTCCCCAGTTTCCAGCCTGACCCAGTAACCTGGCGAGCAGCCCTGGGGGGTGTAGGATACCATCTCGTGGGGCTTCCCTGGCACCCCCGACGCACGCCACGGCTGCACAGTCCACCGTTTGTGCGCCGAGCTACTCACTTTCCTTCCCTGTGCAATCGGCTCTCGGCCGGCGGGATTAAGCAGGCTCCTTTTAGACAGGAGCGATTGTGCTTAAATGTATGTGAGGCTAGCAGGCAGCAACGGGGAGGTGCTGCAGCTGAATGTGCTAATCCACATCTTTCTTTATAGCCATTTCATTGGAATTCTCTCTCTCTCTGTAGGTCATGCAGGCTGACCACAGACTGCACAGCTTGGTATATCTGGCTATACCAGTGCAGACATGGAGCCACAGTCCATACAAAACTAGCAATTCAGAGAGAGCGCGAGAGAGAGAGTCTGCCCTAACTTCCGCAGTAACCCCTATTCATATCTACACTTACAAATACGTACAGCACTAAAATTCTATAAACGTTTTCAATCTAGTTGAGCAGGCCCTAGGGGTGGTAGCAGTCTCCCTCTCAACGTTGGGGGAGGCGGTGGTTGAAAAGCTCATGAAATATTGAGATAGTGAAGAGAGCTGCCGTGAGGGCTTTTTTCCTCCTTTTTCTTGCTACACGGCTCAACAATCAAGACTAATTAAAGCATTCTATTTCTGAGACGTTTGGGAGGGGTGAGCAAAAACACATTCATCTTACCCCCTGGTTCCCCTTGAAGCAAATTGCCGGCTGATTTGGTAAGGATCCCTGGGGACAGAGAAGAGAGGTAAAAGACATTGGTTAGCATTTAATATTATCGGCTAAAGTGGCACATGACAAAAGAGAACTTCATTGATCGGGATTCATCAGGCCTCGATTCCAGGGCAAGTCAGAATTCTCATAATAGAACACAGAACAAAAGTGCCATGTATTCCTTACAAAGGCAGCGTCATCATAACAACAACGCAGCCACAGACTAAAACCCCCTCTTAAACTCCTAGTCATCCTTCATAATGACAGCTTCAGGTTTGTTTTTGGCTCATGCGAGAGAGGAGATTTCCACGAGTAGGCTGGTATATATTTACATCGGCCATATAGTGAAATCACTGCCTACCTATTAGCCTGCCTGGGCAGCAATTACAGTTTCACGTTTCTGGCCTGGACCCCTTGACAGAGATGCAGGGCTGCAGAAGCACTAGTGCGCACGGGACCTGGAATAAAAGCTGCCTGTCACTGGCCTCTCAGTGTCATGGTTCTGCATGCGTAAGCCTAAAGATCAAGGCTAGGCTCAGCTAATCTGTACTGGAATGTGTTCCCATTAATAAATATGGACTTAACAGAGCATATATGAGTCCATCAAATGTTATTGTGAGAGTTGAAGCATGTGTGTGTGTGTGTGTGTGTGCATGGGGCTGGGGAAATGCCTCGTTGGAAGGGAGAAGATTTTGACTTCTGAATGTAATGTAATATAGGCTATTAGTGATGGGACAGTTACCGGTTAATGCTAATGCTAATTCTAGCATTTCTAAATGTAATTATCATGTTTTTAAACAGTCACAGTGGCAGTAAATAGCTTTCAGCAGTTTTGCCGTGACGCTACTATATTACTAAACACCACAATAATTTTCGTTAGAGACATCATGATAGGAAATTTTCATACTATTTCATCTCTATAACACACGTATATACATACATAAATGAACATACACACAATTTTTTTTTGTTTAGATGTTGTCCTAACACTATTTTTCCTTTCAGCTAAACTGTCATCATCAGTGCCTCATCGCTCTCTTCCAGCGAAGCTGATGTGACTCCACACCGACCTGCGCATAATCAATTCTGGGTCCAGTGAAAAGTGTCCTTCTAAATAGGTGTTTACATAACCATGCCCTAGAACGCACTGTGCCTAGCGTTTAACACTTCGCCACATTCAGAAACACTCATTAAAAGGAATGGGGGGGTTGACGATGGAGAAATCAGTGTCATAGTGTCATTCTCATTTCCAACATATATTATTAAGGGGGGGCTGATTCTGTCTGCTCTCAGCATAATTCAAAGCCATAATGCAGGGTCAGAGATAAGCCTCATTATCTTAAAGGTACAGCTGGAGCCGTGGTCAACAAGCATGTTTATCTGTTATGGATGTTAAGGGGAGAGGCTGTCCTGCTCCGCTCAGCGTCATTCGTCCAGTGTTGCCCAAGTTAGAGCTCATAGACCCAGCATTTGCAGGATTAGGTGATAAACACTATTAGGCTCACTTGAGCTTTGTTTCTATGCTTTTAAGGTGAAAGCCTTTAAGTCCACAGGGAGTGAGAGACACAAGCTGACCCCACTTGACCGCATTTAAGAAGACAGTTAGAGCAGACAGTGAAATAACATGAATACACAAAAAGAATCAAGAAAAACAGGACGCTATGTGAACTTTTCAGAAAAGTGAACACCTGATGATAAGTTTAATAACCGTAAATACTCTTTTACTGGGTTATGTTTGACAGCTAGTGACTTCTTTAAGTCAGGTCTCAAATGTGAAGTTAGCTCAGGCCGTATCAAAGCAGCGATATGTGACACCGCCTCTGAAATCTGGAGCGCGTCCAGTGTTTAAAGGGCAGAGGAGGCTATATAAATATAAAAAGAAAAAAGCACCAGAGAGAAAAACACACATCCAGCCTCAATCTGGCATTAAAGGGCCAATATTCTACATTTTTCATGTATTTTCTTTTTTTTCTCTCTTTCAACTTACCAAGTTTATTTCACAGTACAATTTTCCAGCTAAAAATGGTTCTAAAATGTCTGTTTGGAATTAAACAGGGTGCTTTTGTTACTGCCCCTTTAAGACATTTTACAAGATATGTAAATTAACTCCTTTCTGACTGGCTGGCTGGCATGTAATGGGCCTTCTTCAAAAAGCAGTCGAGGCTGAAGCATTTCCAAAAGCTTAGCGTGAAGAGGCGGATATATGTGTTGTTTCCGTGACATCACAAAAACTATTCATTACAAAAGTGCTGCTTTGTTCCCATATATCCTACGGACTGTATAGACTGAGGAGTGAACGATATGTCCTCAAACTTTAATAGTGTTTACATTCTTCATCAAAATACTTTATTTCAAAAACAGCGAGGAGCTTTGAGTTTTCCATGATATGGGCCCTTTAACAACTGACCAGACAGGACAGCAGTGGAATCTGCGTTACCCCCCTCAGACACACAGCCAGCAAGTGAATAAATGCTCAACGTTGTTAGTTTGGACTGAAATGTCGCTGACACGCCAAAGCTAAACGACATCGCTTAAAATACATTTATCGCTTTAGCTACACACACGCTTTGCTTATAACTGCCTCGTAAAAAGACGGCCATGGACTGGGCAGTTTAAAGTTGTTTATAAGCGAAGTTGTGGTTTCAGCCTGTCTACGAGAAGCGACTAGACTCTGCTGGGAAAACAGGAAAAAAAGACCTGGCGGTGACTCAAGGGGGCAGGGGGTCGCTCGGTAAAGGATTTAGCAGCTAATTCACAACAAGCGACAGGCGAAATAAACTGTGGAAAAAAACACTAAATAATCTTTTATTGACCGAGGAGAAAAACGAAGTCGTAGATGTCATTAAACGCGCCCAGTAAATGAGAAGAATGAGGAGTAGAGCCGAGGTTTAGCCGACTTCAGTCGCGATCAATTCTGGCTTGCCTTGAGCCCCTTTCAGACCATATGATCCCTATAAGCAGCTACATTTGAGAGAACTTCTGAGCAAACTGTTTCAGAACCTTATATTCGACTGAGAAACAGCGCAGTAGACTTCTACAGTTTTATTTAAAATTATCTACAGTTCACACACTAAGTGACCAACGAAGTGGTCAGCAGGGAGGTTTCGAGGGTTTGTTTTTTGTGAGACTATTACCAAATAAGCTTGTCTCGAGGGAAGCTAACAGGCTACTAGACATTTCTACAAACTATACATTAAACTTAACTGAAACAGTAGCCAACAGCCCAAAGCCAGAGCCAGCCGTCTACAGCGCCGATTACTCACGCGCTGGCAACTGTAGCCCTCCATGACAGGTTACGGTTACAAACCAATTAAAATATCACTTTAACAGCCAACGACTCTAGGATAAAACAGGACAAAACAGACACAACTGTGTCTCCGAGGTCAGTCTAACTTCTGCCAACTTACGTTTCAAGCTTAGTCCCTACTGACCGCGACTTAACACTGGAAACGAGCAGTCTGTGTAAAGGAGAATAAAGTCCTAACGGGTTACCTTCAGGTTCTGATAGGCTTCCAGTGTCCGAATGGCTGTGTCGGTCAGCTTGACGTGATAGATAGTTCTGTTGGGAGTGTTTTTGTGGGTCTTTGCACAGGAGAGTCCATACCGATGCTCCTGTTTCAGCGCTGCCATGTCTGGAACTGACTGAGAGGTGAACTGGCGACATTCTCTCTGAAACGTCACTCGAGTGGAGGAGGAGCCGGCGCGAGCGCTGGGAGCACGTCACACACACAAGCACGTACACAAACACACACGCAGGCACACAGGACACACGCAGGCGCGCGCACGCACGTACTGTCTCTCTCTCTCTCGCGCGCGCGCGCGCGCGCACACACACACACACACACACACACACACACACACACACACACACACACACACAGAGCTCACCGTTAACTTAATATCTCAACAAAACAGAGGGTAGCATTATAGATATGATGCAACAGAAACACAATTTTTAGAAGTGAAACTGTATTTATGGCCAAGAAACAAACAAGCCTAATGGTAATCCGTGACGGATCATGCTTTTGCGAAGCCCCCGGAGTGCAAGCATCTTTGGACGCCCCCCAAACTCTAACAATATCACATAAGTAATATATAAATACAGTACTGTGCAAAGGTCAGAGATCACGATTTAATTTATTTCATTGCCAATCAAAATACTACGTTTTAAGTAGGTTTTTCAGCATAATTTAAAAATACCTGTTCCTCTTCACATTGTGTTTTTCTTCCGACAGCAGCAATATAAGACAACAATTTATACATATACATACATACATATGTATGTATGTGTGTGTGTATATATAATATATATATATATATATATATATATATATATATATATATATATATATACACACACCATTTTTTTCTTTCTTTTCTTTTTCTCAGTAACAGCTTCTTGATAGCTAATCATTCTTTCACACCCACAGTGTTGTGTTGTCTTCTCACGGTGGAAGGATGGACAGAAACACCTGTGGATGTTTTCAGATCTGAAGCAAGAGTGGAGCTTGATTTTCTCTCAAAGATGAAAGCTTTAAGTGCTGTTTATCTGATGGTGACAGGTTTGCTGATTGCTGGTAGTCCCATCTTCTCAGTATCTTGTAATCATTTTTTGAACACCAGTTTTGGAAATTCCTGTTTTTATATATCATATCTAATCCCTCAGAAATATCTCCTGAGAAAGCCATTTTAACTGGAAATTAAACAAATGAATTTATGTTTATGTGCACTTTTTGCTTTGAAAACAAACTAAATCAGCCTTATCGATGTGCACTTCTACTGTGTCTACTGTAGAACATTTTGGGGTTTTTTTTCCCCTCTCTTTCAAGCTACAATGCAAAAAGAGAAGTCATCCTTCATGCACTGAAGTGTAAACGCTAACATCACTATCACACACTGAAAACATCCCACTGAACGGCTCATCTAAACCAATAATAATAATAATAATAATAATAATATACAACTTAAGAGTTAATAAAGTATATATATTAATAAAATATATATAATTCTTCATTTATTTCATTCATTCAGCCATTTACACATATTTAAGAGTTATTCATGCATCTAATGTTTATATATATATGTCCCAAGTATTTGAGCCCCTTGGGCTGAGTGGTCTGAGGCCCTCTAAGGCCCCAAGAACTGGCCTAACTGGCCAACAATCCTAGTAGTAATTTGATCATGCTGAAATGTTCCTGCTTAGTAGCCTATTTCTAATATTATTTGAAACAGAACATTTATAAAATGCCTTAAGGCTTTGGAAAGTGAGCACATACCCTGATCAAGCATGGGTCTTGCTTTGGTCTAAAAGACTAGCCCACATTAGTGAGAGTCAACCTCCAACTGATTTATATTCACAAAATTTCATAGTGGAATGATAAGGTAAACATAACATGTTGACTCACACAAAAAAACACTGCTGACCAGAATGTTTGGGCTAAATCAAATCCGAACATCCGCTTAAAGACAGACTCCTGAAAAACACACACCATTGGCAGGGTACAAAAATAAACAAATATGGTCATCTTAGAGTCAAATTCATTGCAGCAGCAACGACGCAATAAATTTTGAGATTACAAAAGCATTAAAGAAATCAGTCCTTTGTGTGGGGGGTGATGGGGGGTGATGGGTGATGGGGGGTGATGGGGGGGGGGTGATGGGGGGGGGTGATGGGGGGGGAGGGTGGGCAAATACTGTAAACTAGATTAAATCACACAGAGAAAAAATAATTCATTTAATCTGACCCAGCCAAACCTCTCCACCTTGTTAAGCTCACAAACCCATGAGGTGAAACAGACAGTGGTTTCGATTAAATAACCTAGGGAATTTGGGTTAATTAGAGACGCTTAATCCTGAGCAGAGAAGGTGCTTGGCTCGGGATTAAGGAACGTTCTTGTAGTATCTAATGGAGATTTTGTATGCCATATGGCTGTCTGAGATAAAGGAGTATTTCGATGCAACTTGACAAACAAGACACGTCACTCGATGTGGGTTGCACAGATATGTGTCATTCAGGCTCCAGTCTGTTTCTAATAGAAACATAAGTGATTTGTTCCAATATGTTTGTGCCTGGGTATTGCACTACGTCCAATTATGAAGACATTGAGTTGGATTAGACACACCCCAACACTGACTTGTTCTGAAGTGCTAAGCTTAAGCACCCAATGCATCAGGGCTTAGTTAATTCATATAAGAAGTTTTCTTTAATATAAAACAAGCAGCATTAATGGTGAAGTACATGTATGCTAACAAGTGTCTCTAATCTGATTACATAAGGAGGGATTTCTGTTTTCAGCCTTATCCACCACCTAGACTTTGTTGAACTGAAAGCTATTCACTGTTTAATCCACTCACCTGTTGAAAGGGGAATTCCACCGTTTTTTCCAAAATTTCAGAATAATTCAAATCAGTAAGACATAAATAAAGTCCAGAGTGTTTTATGTGAAATGGATAATTATAGAGAAACCTACCTTTGGGAAACAATATATATATATATATAAAATTGTGGTGGTAGGAATCAATTCTGACTCGATAAATGTCACTAGAATGCATCACTTCATGTCAAACCACTTGGAATGACTTTGTTTACATCTTAACCACTTAATTATCCAGACATTTTGAGAAATTAAGGAATTGCCCATTAAGTGCCATTTTGTTAAGGAAGCGCATCAGTGAAAATCTAGACCCAATGAGCTTAGTTCATATAAGAAAGCTACATTAATATAAATTGAGTGACCTCAAACGTAGTGTTTGTATAGCAGTTAGTAAGTTAGTAGGCACTGATAGTGAAGTACATGTATGTTAACTAGTGTCTTTAGTGTGACTTTCTAGCTCATATAGACTTTGTTTAAGTGAAAGCCATTCACTGTCTAATCCACTCACCCCTTTTCCACTGATCAGCATCTGCTACACTTGATTGCCAGGGTTCAATCCCCAGAAAAAAGTGCAAGGATCTGTGCTAACAACACCAGAAACACTGCCAGGGGCCTCTGGGGAGAAAAGAACGTACCCAAACGTCTTTTATGAATTTTGCTTATAGAGACAAGATGAATAACAACATTTCCATATTTGAACTTGAGTGAATTTGAGTCATGCTTTGACTAAGGAAATTTTTCACGCTGAAAATGAAACACAACAGTTAATTTAGTGAGTAAAAACTATGTCACGTAATTCATATTAAATAACACTGGCACTGCTGACAATACTGAACATGTTATGTCAGCCCAGGTGGTGCTATAATAGAGATAAACACTGAAAAAAAGATTTTAAAAGCTTTAAAGCTTTCAGAGTTGTATGTACAGTATAGCCAAATGCAGTGATTGACAGCTTATTGACCCAGTTATTACTGACTCTACATTTAGATTGTGTGTTTTTTGTGTGTGTGCTAAAGAGTCGCGCAGATACATGAGGCCTGTCTTGTCTTGAAATCCTCTGTTGCTCATTGACTCTTCTGCAGAAGGCATGTTGCAAACCTGGAAAAACCTGTTCACATTCAGAGTGTTACCCTAGGTCAAGTAAAGATCAAGTGAATAAGATACTTTGTGCCTTGTTTAACATCCCGATTACACTGTAGCTTCAGTACATTAAGTACATATAGACTCTCTGAAGCAGAATTATTCAAGATAAACAAGTCAAATGAAACCCAGCAAGGTTAGTATGCTGGCGTGCCACTTCCAAACATGTAGGCCTTCAATTGTCAGCTAAAATGAAATTAAGTCCTGCAAGAACAGTGCTGTTAGAAAAAGCTTGACAAAGCTGGAATAGGGAACGGTACTTCCTTAAATCTTATTGGTGGACATGTTCATGGAAACTGCATTGTGGGACAGCGTGATGAAGTCATTAAGGAGCTTACAGACGTTGGGGCAGATTAGATTTTGCTCTTCTAATCCAGCAGATTACCATCGCACAACCCTACTGACCGACAGGGCTTCGCTGTGCAGTATAGTTTCCACACGCTGATCATTTCTGATTTTCTTTACCAATCTGGCATATGTGGGCTTTAAAAGACAGTGAAATGACGGCATCCTGAGTCCGTTTTATCAACGAGGAGCTATCCGTCAGACCTTCAGTCTGGAAACGTCTGAGTGCCAGCAGGACGGTAATGAATTCTCAGTCTAATTCAATTAGAGTGTATGTGGACGTTGTGCTTTAGGAAATACTACAGGCTGTCACTCATGGATACAGGTGCTCCTTGGCCTTAGTCGAGCCACCGGACAGCAGCTACGCTTCTGTCCCAGGTCCCAAAGCTGCTCAGGCAAGGAGTGGCTGGGAAGGAAGCTGTTTGGTTTGGGAAAGCTCCATAGATGGTATCCCTTGCTCCCTGTGCAGAGATGGAAACAGAACCAGGAGAGGCAGAAAACAAAGCTTTGGATCCAGGAAAACCTGCAGTGATATGGACCAGTGCAGTCCCTGAGGGCAGCCAGGGTTTGCAAGCAAAAATATTTAGCCACCAGCACCAACAAGAAACCAGTGCGGATCTGGAGAAGCTGCAGGTGAACACAGTGATGGACGAGGAGAAAGACACAGCGGGAGAGAAGGAAGCCAAAGAGGGAATGGAGAAAGAAGACAAACTAGAAAAAGATGTAGCGGTGGACGAAGAGGAGGAGCAAGATACGGACAGTCACCATGTAGCAGGTGGCATGGGCGATGAGTATAATGAACCCCATAATGATGGTACCACTTCACAAACCCATATCTCCACATCCGAGAACCCTGAGTCAGGCCACAAGCGACGGCAAAATCTGACAAAGACACCCAGTTTTGGGAAAACAGTGCGGTTTTCAGAGACAGAGGACGTGGAGGAAAGAGACAGCTCAGAGGAAAGCCTTTTCCCAGACTATGAGCTTGAAGAGTGGACTGTTACTTGCTTTGAGGAGTTGTTCATGGCTGAGGACTGGATCGATATCACTGGTAAGCTGTCTGGCATAAGGGCTCTAAGTGATCCTCGTGTTCTGTGATGATAATTACAAGTAGGGCTGGAATATATGCCAAAAATACCATATTGCTATTGCAATGCACCTTACAATGACTTAAAAACATTAAAACATTTGCAAACTCTTGACATGACATGATTAAAGATTGGCCTGCATTATTCTGACCAAAGTTATTTGCATTTGTTGGATTACGTGTATGCTGTGCTTCAATAAACCAGCCCCAGAACAGTTATCTGGAACATCTGGGATTGTTTACAAAGCACAGAAACAGGATGCACACAGCGCAGAAAAACATTTGTGATTTGTTAGAATGCTCATTTGCATATGCTTCTGCGTTATCAGTATCAATTAATAAACAATATATTCTGCAGCTCTAATTATGACCACAATGATTCGATTTGTTCCCAATATTGTTTAATTTAGGGTCAGTTTCTGCTGTCCCTGTTATCCCTGTCCAGCGAACTGACCCTTAGTGTTTATGCAATATAAATTTTATATATATATATATATATATATACACACACACATAAAAAACAAATCCTTAACTTTCAACCTGAACGTCTTCCTTTCATTTAGCATAATTGATTTGGTAATTAACAAACACACACTTTGTTAAACACAAGGGAACTGTTTCACTTAACTGTCAATAACCCAAGACCTAGGCACTTGGCAGTTCTATAAAGTAAGTAAGGAATAAGGGAAGGCCGATAATTATTTTATCACATCTCAGTGCAGCATGTCAGCATGAAAAGGCCTTATCTAGAACATAACCCAGCCTTTTATTCAGGTTTTAATGTTCTTTTGTTGTTAGCAGCTGCAGCAGTGAATAGCAGAAGAACCTGTAATTCCACAATATACCCCTGCCCAAGTTTGCAACTGCTTGCTGAAACACTCAAAGGCAGGGTCATCCAATCTTATCCCCAAGGGGCTGGAGTGGCTCCGGGTTTTCATTCCAACAAAGCAGGAGCTCACTTGATCAATCATTTGAAGACTGAGACAAACTGATTAAACAAGTGCAATCAAGTGTGCACCTGCTTATTTGAAATGAAAACCCGCAGCTACGCCGACCCTCTGCAGATAAGATTGGACACCCTTGCTCAAAGGTCTGTTAAGCAACAAGTAGATTAACCCAGCTGCAATCTCCTCTCATCTCCCACACGGCCCTTGCTGCCTGCAGATGATCGTCTGCTCAGAAAGAAAGTTCTGGAACCAGGACCTGAGCAAGCCCCATGTCCTGTCTGGGGTCAAGAAGTCACGCTGAAAATGCAGGGCGTGCTGGAGGATAGGACCATGGTGGAAAAAGACTCCAAGCTGGTCTTTGTCATCGGGGAGGGAGATGTCAACCAGGTGAGAGGCTGAGAGACTGAACAAACACACCCACAGGTTCCTCCAGAGCACCTGCCAGCACGCAGGCTGTCACCTTGCACCTGCTGCAGGCAGAGTTCTCTGCTGGGAATAGCCCGTGTTTTCACGTCAGCTACTGTATATGTTTACTCTGCACTGGAAAGACGTTTCACTGCTTGCATATCTCAGATCTGGCTTTTTTTGTTTTCCTTTGGAGGAGAGAAACAATGCACATCAGGGTTTTTGCTGGAATTGTTTGAAATTGTTGCCTGTGCTTGTTTGAACAGAACCACGCAAGCTTGAATGAGTAAATCATGCCTTGGAAGAAAGCCATGTTGCGATCCGGGAACAATTTTAAGCAAGCAGAGTGAATGCAAGCAAAGATTGAGCAATCACAACTTCAGAACATTTCACATTCTAATATTTCATTGGACCTGTTCTCAAGTCTCATCATTTAAAACAAAAACATTCAGCATTCCTAAGCCAAAAAGCCTGAAACAAGTATAGAGGACAGAGTACATGTAATCCAAAACTTCTTAAAAAAAAAAACAAAAAAAAAAACAACTTAAATACTGTTTTTTTTGGGAGCAGACTGAGCAAATATCCCCAGGTGGTTTTGCAATTGTGTTATCTTTTTTTTTAAACAAAGTACTGTATTCATGTTTTCCAAAGAGAAAGGTCTATATAAGCAGCTTTGTTTTTCTCTGGGTTTACAAAGTTACCCATTTCTTAAGCGCTAGCTTTGAATGTAGATTAGTGCAAGAAACACGTCTGATTGTAATATTCATATATGTGATAAGTAAAAGATAACAGTACTTTTGCCAGCACAGACTTACATGGACTTGGTTATTCAACACCACACCCTGAGTACCCAAATTAAATATGTATTTGCAGTCTGCAAAAGGTCTATATTTAGTTTGCATTTGATGATTACAGATCTAACAGTGTAGAAACTAACAATGTTAGCCAACAAAGTGTAATGCTTAAGTAGATTTCCTTGGGCATGAACTGCATACGCTTAACAAGATTATACATTAGTTTGATGCTCTGTAAAGGAAGCAAAAAAACCTTCTACTTAAAGAGTTTGCCCATAACACTTTTTTTCCGCTAAGGTGTATGCAAAATTACACTAAAACTCTGCATCTGTCAACTGTGCTTATGTGCAGGCTTTAGAGGAGTGTGCCATCTCAATGAGGAAGGGAGAGATCGCGTTACTGTTGGCAGACTCACAGTACACCTATGGACTTTTGGGAAGGTAGGAGGGGAAAACAAGAAGCCATGTTATACCTTGCACAGCAGCACAGCTTTGCTCCAATGGGTTTTATCCAACTCAAATCCAAGACCAGTTAACATGTCATCGCTGTCAGAACAGAACCTTGTATAGGTTTTCATATTTTAACAAAATATGAAAAAACTAGCTGCTTTTGACATCATGTAAATATTTCATGATGAATGGACCAAAGAAATGATCCAAAATCACTTTTAATAAAATCTTGAACATGAACCCACATTAGAATTTAAAAACGTTTTGGTCTTCTCCTGTTAAGTTACCATTTTGGAGATGCATGGTTTTGTTCCGACAGCAACAATATGATTTTTGAGCATCTGTAAGATCTGCATTGTTTTGCTGGAACACAATTTGCCATCCTGCTACATATTCAAGATCTTTCTGATGACACTGGTTTGAGTAATGTGACATCTATCTTCACACAATGGGACAAAGTCCTTTTGTACCTGTTGCTGTCAGGGCGAATGGCCTATCCCCACTAGCTTGCTAAATGAACCGTGAATAGGAGCAGATGGCCTCCCACCCAACACCATTCAGGCACTGGCCAGAGGTTTCTGCCCCTCCCTCCCAAACCTGGGGGACCAGTGCTCCAATTTCAGCCAACGGCTGTTTTACCACTCTCAATTAAAAGAGCATCAAAAAATTCAATACATGTCAACAGAGTAGGTTTTTTTTGTATTTGAGTGGAACACTATTGAGATAAATGTACAAACTAGGTAGACTGATAGCACACACTAAACATGCTCATATGTAAAATAAGTGATGAACAAATTTGCTTCTTATCTACCAACATGCACACAAATACACAGCAGACGGTACATGAGCTTCAGCTGCATTGTGTTAGGGCTTGTGCAGTGGATACTTTCAGTGTGAGTGGTTTGGAGCCTGATGACTCTTCAAAAAGCAGATTTGTCTGTTTGTCTATGGTGACAGGATTGGCTACACCCTTAAACATAAAGTTTCTAAATGGTACATGGCTTTGGACATACAGTCGCACGCAAAAAGTTAAACACATCTGGTCAAAATCAATTTTCACATTTTTTTTAGGTGAAAACAAGTTAACATGTCCTCTGCAGGTAACTTAAATATGGCATTTTTCTGCTAATTTTACTGCACAATTTCTATTTATTTGCTAAGAAAAAATAAAACAAAGTGTGTCATAACTTTTGCACAGACCCCATTTTATGTTACATTTTTTTCCAGTATGTTAATTTCGGCAAACAATCAGTAATTGTGCATCAAAATGTGCAGAAGTATGTTCTCTGTAGAGATGTGTAACTTTTTTATTTAGAAAATCAACAAAAACATAAAGGTAATTGGACCAGGGCGCACAAACTTTTGCTAGGACTACATTTAATTGGTATAGCCCACCAATTATGAGTTTTTTAAACAGCGATAAAACTGTAACTGTTAATCTAGTTAGAGAAAACGGAATTGCAAATGTCACACAAATTTTACCACCTGAAGCTGCAGAGTCTGTAGCCGCTTAGCTTATCCTGATCTGCCAGCCGCAATGGCACACAGAAGCCATCCAATCCTCCTCCGAGCCTTCCTCTCAGCACATTCAGCCAGCGCAGCTCAACAGTCATGTTTTTATTACAATCTCATCTATATTAGGTACAATAAATGTGCTATTAATATCACTCCCATTTTTAAATAAAAGAGATTAATGTAGTATGTAAACATTGTTAAAGCTCTCTTTCACATTCCCGCATTCACTCCCCAGTCCTTTCAGTCCATTCAGTCCATATTTTGGAAATAAGCTTCAAAAACAGCCTGTTTTGAATCCAGTGTTTTTGGACTGTCACAAAAACCAACACATTTACATACATCCTTTCTGGGCTAGCTAAGTGACTCTATTTCATGGTCTGGGGAATTCCCCAGTCAGCTGTGGGAACTCTGTGTCTGTGTGTTTTTTATTTTTGATTATGTACTTTGTTACTTTAGTAAAGCATCTGATTGTTAAACGTCCTTGCGGAAAGGCTCCCAATAAATAAAAGTGATGATGATGATGATGATGATGATGACGATATCCACCTCTTCAGCCTACAACAATTTAGCTCCGCCCATTCACACTGACATTATAAAGTGTATTTCAGCCTAGACTGCTTTTTGAATGACACACAATACAGGGGAAACGATCACAGCATTTACATATCTTACAGACATCTTACAGGCACAGTAACAAAATCTGTTTGTTTAATTCTTATGGATAAAGAGCGGTTGGAAATTGCTCATGTAAAAAGAAATTACTTCTGTATTTGGTACATAAACCTAGACAAACATTATAAGTGGACCTCAGGGAGAAAGGCAGAAAGGTAGAAATAATGCAGGATATGGGCATTTTAGGAGTTTAACTGTGTTCACATGTTTCAGCACTACTGATGTGGGTTGCATTAAAGAAATCAATACATTTAACAACGGCGGTAAATTAGTTCATACTGTACCTGCTTTAAATGGAGCTGTTACCACAATAACTGTCATCAGGCATAGGCCTAACGCTAAGCCATTTCGTTTAAAAACGGTTCGTACCGAACTATCCATCGGAAGGTTCTTTGGGGGACGTCAAGGGAGCCCTAGCAGCTCTCTGATGGTTCATATTTTTGCTCTGCTCCTACGTGGGCCATCTATGAGTCCCTGAGGGCCAATTTGAGAACCACTGTTCTATGGGGTGGGAATCTCTAGGCACCTCACGATTCGATTCGATTACGATTCAGAGGGCTGCGATGCGATTATAAAACGATTCTCGAGGCATCTTTTTTTTTCTATACATCATTTCTATTTTCTCACTGTGTGAGGACTTGGTAGTTTTAAAGCAAAGTATTTGTAAAGATCCATAATGAATTTACTTCCAATATCTTTTATTAATAAATCAAATGGAAGTGATGAGGCAATTGAACTGGAAGGCTTATTCACTGCCTTTAAAGCACATGAGACGCTGCTGCGTTACAGCCGTCCTACCCATTTTTAGTAACTTTATAACTTCGGTTTTGGTCTCGTAGAAAAAGGGGTCGCTGTGTCAGTAAAATATCTTTGAGACGGGACGTGTGCAACATAGCGCGAAAGCCACGTCACATAGCAACGATGCGTTATTCGCATTTATAAGCAGCGCAGTTGGTTTCCTGGTACGTTAAATCTGCAACGAGAGACTGTCAAACAGTAAAAAGTCACAAAGATGAAGTCGCTTCTCTTCTGAATTTTCTCGTTCCACCTTAAATGGTGCCGTATTTACATTCGGTGCCTCAGTCAGAATTTAAGGTGGAACGGGAAAATTCGAACAAGAAGCTGGAGAATGAGAAGCGACTTCAGCCTCGTAAGACAGCCGAATGTTGAGAGACATTTTACAAGAAACTGCTCTAGTTTTGAGGAAAAGTTTTCTGGCGGAGATGGGAGGAAAGCGGCTATAGTTAAAGCTTAAAGCAGAGCAAAGTAAGTCTGCGCTCTCATTTATATTGTTTAGCCTATACTAGGACATTATCACACACTGAGACATACTGGACATTAAATGTTGCGGCTCCCAAGGTGATTTTTGTTGAAAGGACAAAATGGCTCTTCTTAACATTCGGGTTGTGACTCCTGATCTAACCTGGCTTTTAATGCAGAGGGTCCCGGTCGGATTTCTCACTCATCCAGTAGTGTTTTTGTTATGTGCCGCCACAGACTGTCCAGGCGTTGCACTTACCCACTTCCAAGTTCCGCCTTTTGCGTTCCGTCAACATTACGTTATAAATTGAATATTTAGAAAATTGATTTTTGACTTTTGTGAATTGATTCAGAATCGTTCATGTCCGCATCGAGATGCATCTAAGAATCGATTTTTTTCCCGCACCCCTAATGACAAGTGTGTCCAGTCCTGGTCCTAGAGATCTACCACCCTGCAGATTTTAGATCCAACACACCTAGCTCAAATTTTAAGATGCCCTAAGAAGACTTTATTACCTGGATCAGGTGTGTTAGATTAGGGTTGGAGTTAAACTCTGCAGGGTGGTAGATCTCCAGGACCAGGATTGGGCACCCCTGTTCTATGGCATAGCTCTAAAGAGGCCCATTTTGTCACCTTCAATTTAAAAAAACGTATGACCAGTCCATTTCTCTGCTGTAAAGCTTCTCTGCCAACAGACCAGAATCATTCTATTGGCATTACCTTTCATAGGAACAAAAAGCTCTTCCTGTTTTCTAGTTTTGCTTTCGTTCCGAATATAGTTACACCACTATCTCTGCGTTTGGCAACAAGAAACCTGATCTTCCAGCAGTGCTGCTGTTGAACAATTTATGAATACAAGCCCAGACCAAGCTGTTCCCTCATCGAGAACATACAGTGTGTGGTCTCGTGCCGCGGCAGGCCTTGTTTTCGTGTTGTGTGTGTGTGTGTGTGTGTGTGTGTGTGTGTGTGTGTGTGTGTTTGTGTGGCAGGGAATCAGAGAGGGCTCCAGAGTGATTGTTAGGCTTGGTTGAAGCAGAACAGAGCCAGGCACTGATGGGACATGTTCCCGTGCGGCTCTCTCTCTAGCCCTGTTATGAGCGGCCTCCTGAGGGAGCGGGCCAGTCGGGCAGAGGCAGCCAGATCCCAAGCTAATGGTTGTTTTTGATGCCTCTGATTAGGGCTCTATGCAGGAGAGTCAAATTTAGCCCAGCCTCTAAGGTAGACCTCACAGGCTTCTCACCAGCAGTTTAAAGGGTGAGAGCAAAGCCACTGTGACAACATCTCCTCCCATGGCACACAAGTGGGTACAATAAAAGAAAACATACACACTGCTCCGCTCGAAAAGCTCCCACACACTTTGTAGCAGTGCCCCCATACCAAGCCAGTTTCAGCTTGTTTTTGCCCGGGCACACACACACACAAATAAAGAACACATATCCGATCATCAACATGCAACAAATGTAGGAGATTCAGTGACAGCCCCTATCCGAGTGAGGAGGGGAAAAAAAAACACAGGGATACTGCAGAACATTCCATGGCTAGGCTTGATTAGGCCCGTTTGCGATGGAAAGTGGCACTCAAAGATAAATGTAATCACCAGTAACTTGTTTTCCTTGCTTGGCTGTGACACTTTTGTCAGAATGGCACTGTGGAAGCGGAAAGGTTTTTAGGGGAGCAGGGAGAGAAGACAGAGAGAGAGAGATATAGAGAAAGAGCGAGAGAGAGAAAATCTCATTTAGTCACACTCCAGGAGCGGTGGCACGCATTGATTGAGCCCTGTCGGTAGCCTGTTACAGACAGGCCTGTCTCCTCTGAGGGCACTTCACAGCTTTTAGCGTTCGCCGGCTGCAGACAAGCTGTACCAACCGACTAGGAGAGAAAAGGAGGCTCATAGAATAGGCAGCAGTTCTCTCCCTCTCTCTTTCTTACCCACCCCCGCCAAGACAGCCTCTTAAAAGGTGCTCCAGAGCAGTCGTATTAACCTACGGAAGGCAGAGGAAACTCTTTTGCCACTAACAATTTAGCCATCTGAATGTGACAGGCAGTGCGGCAGTAAAGGACACATGGTAAATTGAGTTTAAAAGAGCGCTAACCATGGGCCGCAAGCCATGGCGCAAACCAGCCAAAGATCAGTGCAATAAAAAGGTGATTCCACAACCTCGAAAATATCTCAGCAAAACAGCATCCAAGCATTTCCGAGAAGGCATCAGCCGCACCCCGGGCAGCCGCCAGGGTGGCAAACATAAATAAGTGATCAGTGGAGTCCACAGAGCTCTGCTCTGTCCCAAAACCAACAAAGGGAACACTGGGGACCAGGGCATGGGAAGGAGGTCCACACTGTGTCAACATTTATTCCTCAGGCCCAAGAGCGGCAATGACCTGTATTACACATGTCTATAACAGCATCAATATTCAGTAGAGTGTGACTATATTTTGGAAGAAATGAGTGATGCCATCTCTGAGAACCCGTGCTAATAATGCTATTTTGATTTGCCAATGAGTTGAAAGGAATAGTTAAATACTTTTCCACTTACCTCAAATGTAGTCAGTTAGCCAAGATATGTTAGATGTTTCGCACTGGAGATAAGACGCTACCCAGTCCCTGAATCTATGTTACAGTGGTACATAAAAGCGTCAACGTTAATTTGAATCAACAGTCTAATGAAATCAATTATCACTGGCACATGTTCATTTAGTAAAATTTGTCCCAGCCTTTATTTGTGTAGGAAATAATGGGGGAATGGGGGATACATTTCCAGCATAGCCCTGATACAAAATAACATACAAGGTGAAACTGGGAATAAAAAAAGACAACACAGCACTCAGATTATGTATTCGTGGAGGGGTTTTTAGACTTACATTGAGGCTCGCAAACATCATGATGCTATGGAAATCCCATGACGCTTTTAAAAAGGTACCTAAAGTGAATGACTCACTAATTTCCTGGGAAACGCGATAGTAGCCACTCAGCCACTCAGCCACCCAGCTACCCACTACACACACACACACACACACACTCTCTCTCTGGTCTTTATCCGTGTATGTGTAAAAGTCTCGAGTCACCCCCACATATATAAACAGCTGAGCATGGATGGCTAACAAATTTCGGCTTCAACTAACTACAAAGGAAATCTTTTTCTCTCAGACCAATGAGTGTGTGTTATGGCTAGAAAACGAGGCTGTCATTACCAGCATGGGCAGAGAGCACATCCTCCCTGTTATTCTTGGCAGAGGATGCAGTCAGCTCAATGAACCCTGCCGGGGAGGCGAATGTATATTTACTCGGACACAGACACATGTCATATAATGTCCTGAGCAAACCCCAGATGGCCTGAGAGGACTGAACTGGAGTGAACTTGCTCTATATCAATACACGCCGCTTAGGACGGAGCTGCCCCCGGGGGAACAGACCAAAAACAAAAACAAGGGGAACTGAAGTGAATGATCTAATACTTTGGCAGTGTAGTCTTCTGCAAACACAGCGAGCAGTTTGTGGGGTTTCGTGGCAGCGTTCAGTGTGGGCAACATATCACTAAAGTCCAGGCCTCTGCCCTAATAGTGACCCCTGGTCGTTACTCCAGTCAGGTGCTGAAAGCGTGACACACAAGAAAGCTTTGTGGAGGGCCGAGCAGAGGACCGAAACAAAGGTCAAAGTTCACAAGGGTATTACTGAAATTCTGTCTCTTGTTGGCCAGCACTGTTTTTCTTGTGAAAGCTGTTTCATCACAGCAGTTAGAAGCAGCTCAGGATGCAGAGTTTAGGGATAGATTTGGCATGTTAGGATTCCAACGAATCAGTATTTCGTTACTACATTTTGCTGTCACCTTTTAAACTTCAAACTCCTGTCGTCTGACCTGATAACCCAAACATTTGTCATATTAAAGCTAATGGATATGGAGTTAAATGTGTGCTTCTAAAGTAAGCCATATTTCTTATGATAAACCTGATAAGGAACAGAATGCACGTTTTCTAATTCACCTGGGACTATTTAACTGCTCTGCTGCTCATTTGAATGTTGGGAAAAGTGGCAATGGCATGGAAATTTCAACATCCTCCTTTTCAGATGGAAGAACACAAGTAACCAAAGCTAATAAAGCCAGAATACTAGCCATCGCACTAAAATGTAAATAATAATTTTATGACAATGACTATTTTTAATAGGCTGGCAACTACACTGTAAATAATAAAACTATGTTAATGGCCCTAAAGATTTGTGACTTGATCATTAACTAAAGTGAGATTTTAAAAAACTAATTCTAAACAATATTTCAAATGGAGTTAAAAGCTAGAAAAACTTAATTTCTCTGTGTGGGCATGGAAGACCAGACAGTTATTGGCAGTGGTGCAGCCATGGCAATGTTAACAACCCCATGGCAGCAGGCTTTTCTTGCTAAAAAAGTTTTGCTAAAGCTTTTATTTTCAGGCAGAGGTCAGACTTTAAATCTGTGTGACTAGGATAACTATAGTCTACTTGTGCAAGGAGAAATGTTGTCAGCCAAATACAGTGAGAATATGCTGTGGCTGTGGTCGCTATGGCAGGTTGCTATGATCATTCCAGCAGCAAATCAAAGAATGAGCAACATCACTAAGCCTGTAGAAAAAAAAAATGCAAATTGTATGCAAAAGTTTGGGCACCCCGTCAACAACAGTAACATGTTTTCTAAGTAAAAATGAGTTAACACATCCTCTGCAGAGAATATACTTTTGCACATTTTAATGCACTATTATTGTTTATTTGCTGATTTTAACATACTGGGAGGAAACAGACATAAAACATGGCCGGTGCAAAAGTTATGGAACACTTCATATATTTTTTTTATTTCAATTTTTATTTCCAACATGTTCAACTCATCAAACAAATAGAAACTGTGCACTAAAACACTCAGAAGTGTGTTCTCTGTTGGGGATGTGTTAACTTATTTTAGAAACTCAACAAAACATGCAATCTAACCAGGGCTGTTCAAACTTTTGCATACGACTATAGATTTGTCAGAAAAACACTGAATTTCCAAATGGCCCCTGCCATGTGTCTTTGGTGATTTATGCTAACTACTTCTGTGTACAGCACAAGTTACCAAAGTACCACAACCAAATAGCTCAGTTACTCCTTCAGTGCACAATGTGCTACCTGCCCAATTTTTCCAGAGCTAGCAACCACTAGTCAGTATATTCTTATGAGCCATTACACACCCCTTCATAGCAGGGAAAGGCTGCTTCAGTGCAGCAATAGAAACATTTCTAAAGAACTGTGATAAGTAATGCAAACAGATTGTGCCTTTGAGCAAACAGCAGTATGTGTGTGCGTGAGAGAGAGAGAGAATGAGAGAGAGAGCAAGAGACAGAGCGATAGAGAGACAGAGAGAGAGAATGAGAGAGAGAAGAGACAAAATCGTCTCTCATCTGAATGTCAAAGAGTGCGATGAGGGTGTTGGTGCCACTGATGACAATCTCTCATCTACAGTGACAAACGACACATCCACGCACAGCAAACACACAGAGAAAAGCTAGTGTGCTCTGTGACATCCACATCCACAAATACATACACACACACTCAGGCACACGCTGTTACGCAGCCAAGTGATGTGTCTGTTCACAGCAGACTTTTAAATCAACACACACTCAGAGTTCTGGTGACTCCTCTTCTTTGCCAAGTCTTGAGAAAGAGCAGATTGACACCAGAGAAAGAACTGGCAGTGGCCCCTGTTCATTTGTCTTAAGAAAAATGGCTCTGCACTCCCAAAGGTACACCAAAAATGCTGGTGTAATCATACAGCTTACTTTACACTACCGCATGCTTATGGATTGTAGTTATTTTAATTGAAGGCACTATTACTCTGATTTTTCATTATGAACCTTTGACAGATGGCAATATGACCATTCACTGGTCAGGTTCAGTGAGAATCTTTACAGCTATGAAATTTCAACATGATCTTTAGACTTAAACGCACAGGTCAAACTGAAATAACTACTTTCTAATGTCATTGCAAAGCACATAATGCTGCTCATTTAAGGCATAATAATAAATAATAATAAAAAATATAATAAAAAATAAAAATAATCTAATAATTCAAACAAAATGCAAAAATGCCACTTTACAGACGTAAAATCACACAAAGTACATATTACAAGCAGTCAAAAGTGACGTTTGCGGGTTGAACATTCATGCCATTAAAGTGTGATACAATCACAAAATCTAGCCGTTCACTGTACCAAATGTTCCAGGTTGTGTCTAATTATAGTTTAGACTAAGGACAAGAAACTCCAGTCCTGGCAGGCCACAGCACAGTACGGTGAAGTGTTTCCGTGCTCTAAGACACCTGACTCAACTCATCAGCTCATTATGAATTCTCTGATGAGCTGAAGGTGTGTTAGAGCAGACTGTTCAGTGTCATGGCTCTGAATTCAAGTGTGCAAATGCAGAGATATTTTCCAAAGAAATCTGCACTGAATTTTTCCACATCTCCAAAGTTCAGTTATAGAAGTTAGCATTTTCTGCTACGTACAATCCAAGTAATCTCCAACACATTCAGTGATGTTGAGGTCTGGGCTCTGGGGTGGCCAGTCCACTGTTCTAGAAAGTAATCTGACGCAAGAGTAGAGTTTGACTTTCTCTCAAAGATGAAAGCTTTAAGTGCTGTTTATCTAACGGTGAGAGTTAAGGTGGTCTATCAGGTCTTGCACAGCTGTTAGGAGTACCATTATCTTTATAACGTTTAATCATTTTTAACTCTAGTTTAGGTAACTTAGGTTAACTTAATGGTCATTTTAGCAGGAAATTAAATGAATGAAGGGTGGTCTCTGACTTTTGCACATTACTATATTTATCTACAGTGGAAAAGTAATGCATTGAATTTACTTAATTGTAATGTATACATCATTTCTGCACTGACCAAATACATTACTCAATTTCAGTTTACTTACTGGCGACAATGTTTTGATGTGATATATCTTATTTGCATGAATATTATATACACATAACTTTTTCAGTGATCTATCTATGGAAGTGTTACCATTAAGCGAAAGAAGCCAGTTCTAATGTGCGTTTGTGTGTGTGAATGTAATATTGGCTCAGTGCAGCTGATTTATGAGCATGTGCGACACAGTAAGCTGCAGAGTGGTGACGCACAGATGCGTCATTCTGTGCGCATGTTGCGTCTGTTGCGAGTGTAGTGAGACACAGATGTGTGTCTGGGTGTGTAAATGTATCTGTGGAGGCAAGGGATCTTAGAGGCATGTGTGACTCAGAGCAGATGACCAACGTCGGCCAACGTTTAACACCCTTTAGACTTAGTGTCTAGTCATTAAGGGCTGCGCAGATGCGCAGCTACATGTTTTAGCCCACACCTCTTGCACATGGACATCTGTGTAATGCCAAAGGCCTAATACACTAAAGCATGGGAAAAAACGTTGCGGATGTGTCCGGGCACGAGAGGTTTGCCAAGCATGGGCCACTCTGCCTGAGCCCTGATTGACTACCCTGCTGCAGATAAAGACAGAGAATTTCAGCAGAAATGTTGTTGCGCTGCTGCTGGATGCTTGAGGTTTCTGTTAAGAGCAGGGTAAGTCACGTGATTTTGGGAGCATGAGGTACCTGCAGACTGACGTTTTTTTGGGATTCCAGCTGAAAGTGAGACAGAAACGGTCCGAGTTGTCATGCAGCAGGTACACACACACACACACACATAATGTGTGTGTGTGTACATATATAGTGTTTGCCCCCTTCCTGATTTCTTATTCTTTTGCATGTTTGTCACACTTAAATGTTTCAGATCACCAAACAAATTTAAATATTAGACAAAGATAACACAAGTAAACACAAAATGCAGTTTATAAACAAAGATCTTTATTATTAAGGGAAAAAGAAATCCAAACCTACAGGGCCCTGTGTGAAAAAGTGATTGCCCCCTAAACGTAATAACTGGTTGGGCCACCCTTAGCAGCAACAACTGCAATCAAGCATTTGTGATAACTGGCAATGAGTCTTTTACAGCGCTGTGCAGGAATTTTGGCCCCCTCATCTTTGCAGAATTGTTGTAATTCAGCCACATTGGAGGGTTTCCGAGCCTGAACCGCCTTTTTAAGGTCGTGCCACAGCATCTTAATCAGATTCAGGTCAGGACTTTGACTAGGCCGCTCCAAAGTCTTCATTTTGTTTTTCTTAAGCCATTCAGAGGTGGACTTGCTGGTGTGTTTTGGGTCATTGTCCTGCTGCAGATCCCAAGTGCGTTTCAGCTTGAGGTCACGAACAGATGGCCGGACATTCTCCTTCAGGATTCTTTGGTAGACAGGTAGAATTCATGGTTCCATTTACCACAGCAAGTCTTCCAGGTCCTAAAGCAGCAAAACAGCCCCAGACCATCACACTACCACCACCATATTTTACTGTTGATATAATGTTCCTTTTCTGAAATGCTGTGATACCTCTACGCCATATGTAATGGGACATACACCTTCCAAAAAGTTCAACTTTTGTCTCGTCAGTCCACAGAGTATTCTCCCAAAAGTCTTGGGGATCTTCAAGATGTTTTCTGGCAAAACTGAGACGAGCCTTTATGTTCTTTTTGCTCAGCAGTGGTTTTCGTCTTGGAACTCTGCCATGCAGGCCATTTTTGCCCAGTCTCTTTCTTATGGTGGAGTCATGAACACTGACCTTAACTGAGGCAAGTGAGGCTTGCAGTTCTTTGGATGTTGTTGTGTGTTGTGGGGTCTTTTGTGACCTCTTGAATGAGTCGTCGCTGCGCTCTTGGGGTAATTTTGGTCGGCTGGCCACTCCTGGGAAGATTCACCACTGTTCCATGTTTTCACCAT